GGTAAAAGGTCTACATGGGAGAGAAGAGGATACTGACTGATTTCCACTTTTGTCCAGAAACCCTAGGAAACAGTCATGACCCAAATGAATGGTATTGGCTGTACTGGAGATGTAAAACCATAGGATTTTGGGGGTGTCTATATTAAGAGAACCACAAGAAAAAGACAAATGGTGGGTAGAAATGATAAAGAGCTTACAGTCTGTAGATGAAAACTTGATACCTGTAAGGATGGACTAGATTTCAGTTTTTGCCTACTCATAATCATCATACTCAAAGACTCTGGCAATCTCAAGTGGTTGACAGGACAAACTTGGGATGTCTGAATGAACAGATGTGGTGATGGGGGTGAAAACCCCGGCATTCTACTTAACATGAAAGAGACTGTCATAATGCCAAAAACCCCGATTTTTCCCTTACCTGTACTTGAGTCACATGTGGAACTTGTACAACAACAAGCATCTGAGGTTAGGCAAGTGTCCACTAATAGTAGCAGAAAAGGGCTAGGGTTCAAACTGTTCCAACAAAATACATGAGGGGGTAGCTACAATTTGTAAAATCAAACACACTATGCCCTAAATCCATCCACTCCTTTGCTAGCCAAAGACTGCTGGCTGTGTATAAAATTTAGTCTGTTATTCTATGAGACTTTTACCTCCCCTAAAGAGCCAGGCCCCAGCCATATCATCTGCACTCCAGGGGAAGAGGCACCCCTTCCTCTGCTCCTTATAGAAATTATATATGGATAGGGACCCTGTATATGTACTGGAACCCATCAATTTCCATGCAATCATATGTTGCCCCTGACTCATACCTATCAAACCTCTAATGTAACCTGGTTGATATGTTCCACTGGATTGTTCAAGTGCATAAACATAAAACTCACAGGGCATGAACCCTGTCTACTGGCATTGTTACTTCCACAAGTGTCAACCTTGGAGGGAGAGGAAGGATTTATACAGCTTCTCTCAACTAGGCACCTGTGGGATTGATAAGCTGCCTCAGTAGTACTCCCTGTGCTTTTAGGGGTAAGTTTGGTGGGATCCAAGGCCATGGGGGCTGGGGCCCTGACTTACACTGAAATAAGATTACAGGGAGTTATGAGCCTGACTCAAGCTATTGAGGAAGATTTGTCTGGGGTTGGGACTCAGTCCAGGAATTCCATTACCAAGTCAACCCTCTGGCAGAGGTAGTCCTGCAAAATAGAAGGCAATTAGACCTCCTTTTAATGGAACAAGGTGGACTATGTGCAGCCGTGGGGTAGGAATGTTGCTACTATGATAACAAGTCAGAAATCATAATTGAGACCCTAAATAGGGTCAAAGAAAGAATGAACAAATGATCAAGGGACCAACAGAAGAACAAGGGCTGGTATGAACAACTGTTTAATTGGAACCCCTGGCTGACTTCCCTAGTTACAGGGCTGGCTGGTCCTATCCTGATAATAATTGACAGCCTGACCTTCAGGCCATGCCTCATTTAGTGGATAAAAGGTAGACTCCAAAGTACTGTAAACCAGGTACAGATGATTGTCCTAACAGAAACTATAGTGTGAGCCACCACCATATGAAGCACTATATATGTTGTAAGTAAGATAAATATGTCCTTGAGGGGAGAATGACATGGCCAGCATAACTCCATTTTGTTTCTGGGCTCCATTTTAGAAGTTACCTAAACTTTAGAAATAACCCACACCTCTACCCCTCCCTCTTAGCTGACCATAAAATCCACAAAAGAAGAAACAAGTCATTAATTTAAGGAACAGAATAAACTGTGGGGTAAGCTAAAGTTTTAACTGCATCCTGCTAACCCTAACCCTAACCCTAACCCCTGGAAAACCCCTGGTAAATGTTAACCTTGTGGAATTTTTGTAAAATTCCAAAATGAGATAATGTTGTTACCATGGTTACTCGCAAATATTTAAAAACTCAGGGCAAAGTCCCTTCAAGGTCGGCATCCTGACTTCATGTCATCTACCAGTTGAAGAAAAGCTTGCTTGTATCTTATTCTTGGCATCTGTGAACATTTTCTTGCTAACTGCCATAAGTTTCCCAGTTTGCATGATCATCCTTTCTCCTCCTGCCTTGCTTCTATTTTCTTTGCAGTTCTTTTTCTTTTATACACTATGCTTAAATCTCTGTACCAAAGGATAAAACCAATTTACCAAGGGGAAAAACTTTTTATACAAATTCACAATTTGCAATCAGCTATGTTATAGAATTATAGATTTTATATATAGCTGATCTGTATTCTATATATAGCTACTGCAGTTTGTCACTTTCTAAATTGTGCTTGACTCTATTGTAATTGCTACTTACACTACTTTAGCTAGGATGTTGTATCTGCTGTAATCAGTTGTTCTCTCTTGTGTAACAATACCAAGAAGCTCTAGGGTAATAACCTCACCACAGCCCAACACCAAAGAACTGAGGACTGAGCAAAACAGACGTGAACATCTCACTCTTCATTAACTGTGAAGGTCAGATTTGTGACAGACACAAACCAAGAAGTTCCTACAAATAGGTGATAACCCTGAGGAGCAGACTTTCCCTAGAGAGGACTTATTACAAGTGACATAATTATCTATGAAAAAAGCTACAAGAATCAACACATATAATAAAATAAAAGTTATTGAAATAGAAAATGATAACTCACAGAAGAAAGATGTAATCTCAGACCTCCAGCCCACCCAGCACAAGTCCAGGAGACAATGACAACAAGATAGAAGAAAATGGAGGTCACATACCTGAAATTTCTGAGATAATAGGCACCAAAGTAGAGAAACAAATCCACAAAGGCTATAGAGGAAATCAGATCAGAAATAATCTCTCAGGTAATAAAAAAGAAAAATCAACATTCATAAAGGACTCCCTCAGCCAATCTAGAGTAGAGATAGGTAACAAAAAGTTCATGATAAGAAAAGGATGGAAACTGTGAAAAATCAATATAAGAAATAAATAGAATGCATGAAACAGATTCAAACAGATATCCAAGAAATTAGGAATTCCATTGAAAGTTTACAACACTCTTGAACAATACTGAAGACAGATTTTCAGACACTGAAGACAGGATCACACCTAGGAATTATGGAGTGAAAGATCACCTGAAAAATCATTAAAGATCAGAAAGTAACAATTCAGCAGCTGCAAGACAATGCAAACAAAAATAATATAAGAATAATTGGTGTAAATGAAAAAGCAGAAGCCTACACAAATGACATAAAATTGTTTGCAGAAGTAACTGCAGATAGCATGGTGTAATGGTGATATGGAAAGTGAGTTCTTTGAGAAAGGTACTCACAAGAAAACCGAAAAGGCATGAAGGGAACAAAGCTTTATTTGAGCTGGCTGCTGGACAGTCTCTAACCAGGAGCCAGAGAAGATGTACACACTGATCTGGGTCTCACCTTCAGTTAAAGTACATGTTAGGTTTCTGTAGTAACCATTACCTCATTTTTGTGAATCTTACAAGAATGTCACACAATTATCACAAAGTTTGCTTCTCCCAGAGGATCAGACTACCCAATTCCAAATGACCATTGCAGTTTTTTTAGCCCACTTCCCAATTAGTCCTGTTTGTTTTGGTCCCATTTTATGACTCTGCTCTGCTGAGTTCATAACTAACTAAGGCCACTGGAGTGAAGTACAGGTTAAGTGAACTTTAAGGGACTTCTTGTTAATGTGGAGTTTAAAACAGAAAATGAAGTCTCTTTTGCCATATCAGTGGTTGATACACTGTGTCAACTTGAAAAGTCCAGAAACTTCACTAAGTTACTCAGCAAGCAGCCAGGGTCCTCACTTGGTGAACATCCTGAGCCTGTGCAAGAAGAGGGCATGGAGATGGTGTAAGTGCTACACTCACCTGAGGCTGGATAGCATCCACACAATATGAGAGGAAAGAGACTTGCTCTCTCCCCTTTTGCTTTTCTTGCTTTTTCTGTCTTCTGCCACCTCTAACTGTTGTCCCTGGGCCATGCCACCCTGCCTTGGAACCAGCTGATTATAGACTGAAACCTCCACAAAATGTGAGTGAAATTAACCATTTTTTTCCTTAAATATGAGTGTCAGGTTTTTTGCCTCAGCAAGAGAAAAGTAACCAACACAGAATTTGGTACCAGAGAGGTGGGGTCATTGCAGACTATACCTGATCATGTGATTTAAAAACCTTTGGAAATGGCTTGTGGGAAGCTTTTCAAATGGTTCAGAGATGTCACCTGAAAGAGTAGAGCTGGAAATCCTTAGACTGTTCTGTACTGGAGATTCTGTTAAGGACTGATAGAAATCCTGCTGGTAAAGACCAGGTTCAGAAGCTTTCTGCTGGGAAAGATTGCATTGGCTGTTGCCGTCTAGTCAATGTGTGTTATGGCTTGGTAGAAAGTTTGTCTGCAGTTTGCTTGTGTCCAGAGACTTTGCCTGAGACTGACATTAAGGGTGCAGGACTATTTATGCTGGTAGAAGAAATTTCAAGGCAGTTGAATGTTTAGGTGGTGGCATGGTTATAGTTGGGTGTTTTCAGCCAGATTTATGTTGAAAATCAAGAGCAAAGAGCCCAGAAGAATGACTTAAAATGTGAGTTTGGCCAGAAATGAGGTTCCAGTAAAGCTATGGACTACATAGATAGAGCTGAGGATATCTCCATTGCTGAGAAGGAACAGGAGAATATAAAAGATGGCCTAAAGGCATCACAAGAAGCAGAAAGTCTCCACCCTTTGCAATCTCAAAACTGAAAATTGAAAGACCTTGCTTTGAGGAGAAAGTCACAAAACACCATGTTCCAGAATGGTGCCAAACTTACCATGTTCTAGAAAGGTGACAACATAGAAAATTTGCTCCTCAGAATTGGATTCAGAGTGACAAACAATCTAGGATCTTGACCCCTACAGCCAAGAGAGAGGCAAGCCTGGCTACTGCTCCAGTTGGCAACAGTTCTGGGCATCATCAGTGTGGCACTGGTTTTAAGTGCATGAAGAATGCAAGAGTTGTGGGCTTAGGAATATTTCCACCTAAATTTCAGAAGGCTTGGGAAGATGAGGAGTGTGTCTTTGAGAACGCAACATGTCAAGGTGTAAGGGTGAAGCCAAAGGTGAAATGAAGACCACAGAAGTTTGGAAAATCCAAGAATATGGATCATTTCCGGAAACCTACAAGGAGAGAACAAAGCTAGTCCACTAGAGAAGCCATAAGAGATATAACTGCCAGAAGTGCCATAGGGGTGGAGTCACTCACACTATTTGGAGCTCACATTTTCCTTCAGGTTTTTTGGATGTTGCACTTGGAACTACAGGACTTAATGTTTGCCTGGCTGGATTTTGGACTTTCTTTATCTTTTGTATTCACCGTTTATAAATTTGGAATTAAAATGTTTATCTTGTGCCATTGAATGTTGGAAGTGTTTATCTCCTCATTTGTACAGGGGTTTGCAGCTAAGAGTTTGCCTCACATCTTGCTGGACACTTGGGACTTGTACTCTTCAGCAATGCTGAAGCTCTTAGGAGTCCAGCAAAACTTAGACTGGATTAAATGCCTTTTGCATAAAGGGATATGCATAAGTCTTTGGGGGACAAGAGTGAATGTCATGTTTCTAATGTAATATAATGTTGACAGACTTAATACTGGTTCTTAAGGATTATTAAACCTGTGTTATAATGTTCAAGTTGCAAAACAAGAAGAATAAATATGTCTTTCTGTCTGGAAACTGGCTTAAAAATGTGTGTGGTTGCCAAGTTGACAAAGGGTAAATTGTAATCATGGACATACTGTGTAAAATAGGAAGTGTAGAAGCTTAACTAAGTGACTCAGCAGGTGGTCACGGTCCTCACTTTGTAAACATCCTAAGCCTGTGCAACAAGAGGGCATGGAGATTGTGTGAGTGCTACACCCACCTGAGGATGGATAGCTTGCATATAATATAACAGAGGAAAAAAGGCTTGCTCTCCCCATCTTTGCTTTTGTTGCTTTTGCTGCCTTCTGTCACTGTTACAGTGTTTGTCTGGTTGTCCCCACAAAGCCACATGCATTCATAGGATGGGATTTTAGAGTTTATGATTGATTCATGGTCCAATGTTGGAATTGTGGATGTGAGTGCTACACTTGCCCTGGGGCCGGTAGTTTGCATATAGTGTAAGGGAGGCTGCTTACCACTGCTCTTCTCTTTTGCTCTTGTTGATTTTGCTTCATTCTGCTGCCATGAATGGTTGCCCTGTGCCATGTGTCACCCTGTCTTGGAGCCAGGTGAGTATGGACTGAAACTTCCACAGACGGTGAGCTAAATAAACCTTTCATTCTTTAATTATGGGTGTCAGGTATTCTGTCTCAGCAATGAGAAAAAGTAACCAAAACAGCCACCTTGAGCTGTTGTCCCTGTGCCACAGCACCCTGTCTTGCAGGCAGCTGATTATGGACTGAAACCTTCACAAACTGTGAGCTAAATAAACTTTTCCTTCCTGAATTTTGGGTGTCTGGTATTTTGTCTTAGCAATGACAGAAATTAATGAGGACAAATGTGAAAAGAATCTGATATATGGATAAGTAAAGCATATACAACTCCAATTAGCCATATTCATATTAATTCCACACCTAGAAATATAATAATCAAGATCCCAGAAATTCAGCAAAAGAACAGAATAATAAAAGGTGTTAGAGAAAGGAAACTTATCACACATAAAGTAAAGCACATCAGAATCAGGGCAGATATCTCAACACAAAACCTCAAATCAAGAAGAGCTTGGAGTGAAGAACTTCAGGTCCCTAAAGAAAGCAACTTCCAACTGAG